TTATTTTGATTTTTACATATATTCTTTATTGCACTTGTAAGTTACATATAAAATAATGTATTTATAAATGTTGTGAGCAAGGGTGGACTTATCTCTGACAGAGATCTCTTCCAGTCTACCCAATACAGTGAGCAAGCACGTCGTTAGCGGGCGGCTGAAGTGCTACAACTATTAATACATAAACAAATATACAGTTGAATAAAATATTAAAATATATAATAAAATATTACATACATACATACACTATAAATACATATAATACGTACCTACTTATATAATAAATGTTAAAATAAATGAATATACTACTTATATTAGAAATTTAGTTTAATGATTTTAACATTTGACAGTTCATTTAGAAAAATATATCATTATCAAAACCAGTTTTGATGGGATTAATTGGAAAGTATATCTTGTATCTTTCAAATAGAGTATTAAATTTGTAAATAGATTTATAACGGATAGAATTGTGGGATAACACATAAAAAAAACAATGAAATCGAAATCCTCCTGACATTTGTTAATGTCGGTCCTAAATTTTTAAGTCGGTGAAAATTACCCGTCGACTTATAAAACTGAAATCGTCGTTTTGAAAGTCAATTCAAATTTTTTGAAGTCACCTCTTGACTCTAAATAATATGAAAAACCACCATGCATTGCTAATTCTTAGAACTAGTTCACCCTGAAGAATGACGCTTTATTGGATTTAAGATTTTTTTTTATACAACTTAGAATGGCAAACAAGCTAACGGCCCACCTGATGGAAAGTGGTAACCGTCGCCTATAGACATGAGCAGTACCATGGACATAACAGAGTATACTGTTTCGCTCATGATACCCCCCATGCGTTGCCATTCCTGAGGACTCAGGTGTTATTCCTCTGTACCCTGTAAATTCACGCCGTATCTCATTCTTCAAACCGAAACACAGCCATGTAATCACAATATTTGCAAAATTAGAATGTACAATATATCAATTCTGAACCATTTTATAAACTATTTAGAATATAAAGAAGCCAACGGTTCACCATAGAAAGTGATGACGTCACTTACACGGAAATCATAAAATGCATTTTAACAGTACTCCTCATGTATTGATATCCTTGATCATGAACATGATCCATGTTATGCTTTGGCAATGAAATGGCAGGAATGGCAACGCATGGGGTTTTTTTTTGTTAGGTGAAAAGGTAATGGCAACCCCGCCTACGCTAACGGGATACGCTGGCGGAGCACCAGTGAAAGGTGATAGATGAGAATGAAAACAGGCCAGTTAGCCCATCATGATGAATTTATCAGGAATTAACCATGATAGTTTCCAGGGGGAACCGCGAGGAGGTCGACCTGGTTGAGTATATTGCTAGCAATGGGATTCTCAGTCTCCATTACTAACAATCCTTTTCCCCAACGCATGAGGGTTATTATGGGCATAATAGTATACTCTGTTATGTCCATGGTTCTGCTCATGTCACGCCTATAGAGACGAAAGTTACCACTTTATATCAAGTGGATCGTCAGCCTGTTTACCATTCTAAATTGCATAAAAAATTGCTTCCTTAACTTGCACTACACATCCTCGCCGTTTAAACTGAAACACAACCACGCAAGCACAACTCTTTCACATTTGAAACACAAGTGGAACTAGTACCAAAGCAGATGAGTTTTGTACAAACTCTCTCTCTCTCTGGTAAAAATAAATATACCTAATAAAAAATGTAGATGATCATAACTATGCATCCATCTGTCAACCCATTAAATATACTGTAATGACCTAGCTGGAAATGGAAAGGGCTTTGACACACAAATTGGCCGATTAAATAGACTAAAACCGTATGGCAGACGAACACGACTAAGGAATCCTCTTGACGAAAAAGGTCCGTCTGCTTTTTGTCTATGCCCATCGCTATTTAATTCACTCCATAAAAGGGAAAAAAAAACAAACGGGTCAACTTATTTACATTAGCAATGGCAACAGTAACATCCAACTCTTCAATTGACGAGTTTAATTCTAAGGATTTAAGTTGATAATTGACTGGCAAAGATGAAGATTGAGATGAGCCTGATACCCATTTATGTCTAATCAGAGGTCACTGGTTTGATTTTCTTTTTTTGCTGTCCATCTCGACATTTTAATCATGTAACACGTGTAATGTAACAGATCTAATGAGATCTAGTTTCTAGTTCAGTCTATACTATTGCATGTATTACATCTCAATATGCACTTAAAAATGATAGAATTTTCATCGTGCCTCTGATCAAACTGTTTATTATTTAACTCCTCTCCATCCAGAGGTTGCCTGGAAGAGATCGATTTTAGCGATAAGGTCGCCCATTGTTTTTTCACTGTGATTATTTCTTGTAATTGTTTGTATTTACCAGAGGGAGACTTTGTACAAAAGTCGATTGCTTGGGTACCTCTATCCCATTCGTGTTTCAATCGTAAAGCAGTTGTGTTTGCATGGCTGTGTTTCGGTTTGAAGGGTGGGATATGGCGTGAATTTACAGGGTACAAAGGAATAGCACCTAAGTCCTCAGGAATGGCAACGCATAGGGGGAACATGGGAGAAAGAGTATACTCTGTTATGTCCACGGTACTGCTCATGTTTATAGGCGACGGTTACCGCTTTCCATCAGGTGGGCCGTCAGCTTGTTTGCCATTCTAAGTTGCATTAAAAAAAAAAAGTCCGTCATTGTACAATATTAAATCATTTTAATGTGACCAAAGGAAATTATGTATAATAAATATTTTACAATACAATACTGAAACTGAGAGTAAATCGAACTCCGAACACAATCAGTTATAACATTGTTTTATTGCGAGTTACTCATATATTATCGCTTCGCACATAATATAACTCGCAGCAATAACACTGAAGCAACAAGATTGAGGGATTCCAAATGTCTTATGATACATTACTAAATGTAGGCGAGCCGACCAAATGAAGGCATGGCTATTATGAAATTAGTTCGTACTGCAATATGCCAATTACTGTACTTAGATTTACATTTTAATGCTCCTCTCAAATACAGTTATGATTCATTAATGTCAACTGCAATCTCTACAGACATTTTAGGTTCGCAATTTCTTATAGAATTTAGTAGGATTCTAAATTTTTATGGTATTATGTTAAATTTATTACAGTATGGTAAATGCACTGAGCTCTTATTGTATATTAATGTGTATATATGTATACCGGTTCGTATCTGTCTCAAAGAATATCTCTGGTAATCCAACGTGAAAATACTGCAAATGTTATAGGGAACTTTGGGTTGGGTACGAATCGTAAATATTATTTTGACCAATTATAAATTGAATTGTATACAACGTTTTACAAAACAAATAAAAGGTATTAATCATATATTGTATATGTATTTATATCATTGATTTATGATAAAAAAATTATAAGGATACTGAATAGTATCGAATTTTGAAGTCCTTTAATCGCATATATTCAATAAAATAAAAAAAGTTCGTATAGTAAAAAAAAATTATTATTTCAAAGATGAATTTGTGGAAATATAAGTTAGCTTCCCATATAGGTGTCAGTTGTCGTTGTTGCCCTGAAGGGCCGACAACGTACACCTGACACCCCCAGTGTTGCAGGCGTCCATAGACTACAGTGACCGTTTACCATCAGACAGGCTGTATATTTGTTTGCCACCTTTGTGGTATAAAAAAAATATTTTTGAGTTTATGCATTACAAAAAAATAAACAAGGAAGTAAATGTATTCTTATTATAATATTAATGTAATGTAAATAGGACTCTATTTTCCGCGCTTAGTCTCTCATTTAGGCCGTTGTGCGTATGAGTCGTGGCTAGTACAGCCAACACAGCTCCGCCCAGAAGCACAGAAGCTTCCTGGAATTTTCACAGGCCTCACGGAGCGACCTCACCGTTCCGAGGATTTCTAAACGTTGATGGGCCTCAGCTTCACATTCCAGGATTACGTGAGCAGCCGTTTCTTCGGCGTCGAAACATCCTCGACATAGAGGGCTGTTTGTGGCTATTATTGTGTATAAATGTTTGTTTAATGGACAATGGCCCGTTGTTTAATTATTAGGGCGATATTAAATAACTCTAATATAATACAAGTCTGATTACTGTAAAATTACTGGTAGGCGCACTGACTTATCCCTTGATACACTGAATTAGAATGTGTTATAAATGGTATATTAATTTCTTAATTTAATTAATTAAATATTAATTGTTTGAATTATTATAATACAAACTAGTTGTAATTGTTACTTTTATTTAAAACTAGCGACCCGCCCCGGAATCGCGTGGGCACACATTACATCAGAACACATTAGATACTTCTAAATTTGTCAGTGTTTCTCTACAATATTATGCATGTATTATACATATAAACCTTCCTCTTGAATCACTTTATCTATTAAAAAAACCGCTTCAAAATCCGTTGCGTAGTTTTAAAGATTTAAGCATACATAGAGACAGACAGACAGCGATAGCGACATTATTTTATACTATGTAGTGATCACTAAAAGGATTTTGTATTTTTATTAAAAGAACACGTTGTTAATTTTTATTTATTATTTTAATATAGTCATAATCATATCAGATTCTAACTGTCCACTGTTGAACATAAGCCAGGGGGTTATGCCAATAGTTGTCATGCTTGGCAGGCGGATTGGCAACTGCAGTTAGGTTTTGGTGATGTTTTAAGAGGGATGCTGCTGCCCATCCATTTTCCTCATTTGGTCGTCTCTTACGACACCCGCGGGAAAGGAAGGAGTGGTCTATTCTATGCCAGGACCACAAGAGAAATTATTTATTATTTTAATTTTAATATACTTAGTAAAAATTTTAAAATAAATCCAATTTAAAGTCTAATATAAAACTTTCATTGAATTTTATCATTTTTAATGATATCGCATTTGAGAAGATCATTTAGTTTTTTTTTTCCATGCTAACTTTTGATTTAAGTAACTGTGAAGTAGTTCGTTAAAGGTGAAGTAAGGTCAAAATGAATAAAAAAGTGAATGCTTTACACATCGTATATTGATTTCGTATTTACAAAACTTACATCTAGTTTATAGTACAAAAATACATTTTTTTAAACATTTTCTCTTACTCCTAGTACTGTCCATTTACATAGCTGAGTATAAAACTTAACGAGTATTTTGACAAGAAATCAAGTTTACAAGCGGAAAGTTGAATGATTTGAGATCACATTATAGACAGAAACAGAGCAGGATAAAAAGAATTTCTAGAAGTAAATTGAACAATAACTATAAATTGGCAAGGCAGTATCGTTAATATATCACAATATCATGGCGATGGAGGGGTTTGGGAAGATGCAGTTAAAGAATTAAAGATTCATATTTATAAATAAATGAAATTAAATTCAGAAAAAGAAAATTTAAAACTGAAAAAGTGATAAGAATCGACAGGCCAGAATAATAAATTAATGTGCATTTTATAATAGTGCATTGAAATTTGTAAAATAGGAATTTAAAGCTACAGTTGCATAATCGAATATATTAAAATTTTTGACAATCAATCCAACGAGATTGAAGTTGCAACAAAAACCATCATATTTTGACCCTTCCATCAGTAGAATTCATTTAGTATCTATAACCGGTTTGGGAGTTGAAGTTGCCGGAACCAGATGGGCGAGGACCAGCGTTAGGAGCCAAGTACTGGCGGGAGGCAGCACCACCGAAGCCGGATGCACCGCCGCGAAAACCAGAGCCGGCGCCCCCACCGAAGCCAGAGCCGGCGCCCCCACCGAAGCCAGAGCCAGCGCCTCCACCGAAACCAGATCCAGCACCGCGACCGTAACCGGCTCCAGCACCACCTGCAGATCCTGAGTAACCGCCAGCACCAGCGCCCTCACCGCGGTAGGAGCCTGGAAAGAGTAATTTAATATCCATTAATTTTCATGACAATTATTTTATGGGAAATGGAATGACACAAGCTGACGGTCCATTTGATGAAAATTGGCAACTATCGCCTGTAGATGTGAACAGTACCATGGCTGTTATTACTGTAAAATACCTACCACTATTCAAACCAAAACATCAATGTAAGTACATCGATTTAATGGTAAAACCTAAGAGGTATCCCTACAGACGAGTTTTTTGTAAAGTCTCTGATAATCAGTCTTCTTACTGTCGACTTCTATCAGTAGTCTTTTATTATTTTTTATGTCCTGTCCACTGCTGAACATAAGCCTTCCCCATAAGGGGAGCTTTGGCAGTAGTTGCCACGCTTGGCAGGCGGATTGGCAACCGTAGTTAGGCTTTTAGAGATATTTTAAGAGGGATGCTGCTGTCGCCTATTTTTCCACCATTAAGTTCCCATACTTGCCACTTACGACACCTACGGGAAAGGAAAGGGTGGCCTATTCGATGCTGGAACTACAGGGTCATTCCCATATTATAATTTTGTAAAAATCATTGTCGATTGTATTTAAGTTATTATGAATAAATTTTTTTTTTTTATATTACAGCGAACATTAAAATAATTATGTAAACGCAAAAATTAATAAATTGTCAATGACCTTACATTGTACTATACTTAGTAGGTACTTAAGTAACCTTTTGGACTAACAGGTTTGCACCTTTTCAGGCGAGCCGGTTAATTTGAACGAATTTAAATTACAAAACATCCGTTTTGTAATAAGATGATCACGCATGCATTTTCTTGTATTGTTTGTGTATGTACTTTGTATGGCTACAAAACCAGCGTTTATTACTTATATGCAAAAATATAAAATGGCGGTATTTTTACTTTTTTTTTTTTTTAAAGGAAAATGTATAAAATACATCTAGGTGTAGGGATAATGTTTTTTTTATATGATAACTGAAAACACATTTTACTGAATTTTAATAAAAGCTATCGTTAGAAAAGAGAATATTTTTAATCATAATAATATTAAAGAGATGACTTTAGTTACTGTTTATATGGATTAATTGTAAACTAAAGTTCATATTTAAGGGAATGGAAACTTTAACACTTGCTTTATTTTTAAATTTAAAATGTCGATAATTTATTTTTACAATTAAGCCGATATTAAAATCTTTTTTTACAATGTAAAACTTTTGAAAGTTAACAAGTCGGTCAGTAATGTCTACTTAAGTATTTTATCGATAAACTCGTTTAAAATATAAAATTATTTTGTACGTAAATTGACTTTTTGACAAACTACAGAATTTCATGCGGATTATTCTCAGATAACTCTCTTCTCTTCTCAAAGACCACAAAAACATAATAACAACTCAATATATATAACATAAATAACATGAATAACATTCCAAACCAAACGAAATTGTCATAATAGCAATGATTTAAAAGAATTTGTAAATAAGTTTATTTAATAAAAGGACTATATTATATTTTACGCTATCCGCCGATAGTATTCCGCTTATTTCATAGCCACACCGCAATAGCATCCGAAAACATCTCAAGGTTGTGACCGCGAGTTTATAGTTATGAAGTCGTTATCGACCTTTCATACTTACACGGATATTTAAAAAGGTTACATTTGTACATTGCAAATGCAATTTGAGTAACGTACCAATTATTGTTATTATTGAAATTTGAACCTTTAGCGTGTGGTACAAGGATGCGTTTAATGTATCAAATAATTTCGCAAGGACCATATCTTGACTTTTTTAATATTGAAAATATCATCATCATCATCATTATATCTGCCTTTAACTGTTCACTGCTGAACATAAGCATTCCCCATGGGGGGCTGTCGCCAGTAGTTGCCACGATTAGTAGGCGGATTGGCAACCGCAGTTAGGTTTTGGAGATGTTTTAAGAGCTGCTGCCCATCCTTCGCCCTCCTTTAGTCACCTCTTACTACACACACGGGAAAGGAAGGGGTGGCCTATTCTATGCCAGGACCATGCGACCAGAAAATATTATACATTTATTTGTAAATAGTACTTATATACTGAAAAATTCCAATCTCATTCGAAATTTAGATTTAAAAAGTTTATTCTCAAATTAATGTTTTTTTTTTACGCAACTTAGAATGGCAAACAAGCTAATGGCCCACCTGATGGGAAGTGGTAACCGTCGCCTATAGACATGAACAGTACTATGGATATAACAGTGTACTGTTTCGCCTATGATACTCTCATGCGTTGCCATTCCTGAACACTCAGGTGTTATTCCTCTGTACCCTGTAAATTCACGCTATATCCCACCCTTCAAACCGAAACACAGCCATGCAAACACAACCGCTTCACGGTAGAAACACGAATGGGACAGAGGTGGCCAAGCAAATGACTTGTACAAAGTCTCCCTCTGATAAATGTTTTTTTTTCTCACATTTAGAACGTTTTTTTTTATGGCTGAAAATGGTATGATAACCTCGCCTGCGCTAACGGTATACGCTGGCGGAGCACCAGTGAAGGGTGATAGATGAGAATGAAAACAGGCCAGTTAGCACATCATGATGAATTCATCAGGAATTAACCATGATAGTTTCCAGGGAGAACCGCGAGGACCTGGTTGGGTATATTGCTAGCAATAGGATTCTCAGTCTCCTTTACTAACAATCCCTTTCCCCCCAATTTAGAACGTTAGAGAACAGTATCATCGTCGACTACAAATAGTTTCAATCGATTGTTTTTTTTTTACCAAATTTCTACACAGGGTAATCGTATATTAATGTATTAATAATTAATGCATTGACCCACTATGATAAAAAGCACACTAACAAGGTGATAATGTTATGTAAAGAGTTACATAAAGCTGACACAGGCACACCGAAACAATGCTTGAGTAACAATTGGTAATGTTTATCTGTCCATCAAATATCTAACCGTTACAGCGGTAATTATCTGTTTTAGGGTTCAGTATTGAAATCGTTATAATTTTTATTTTTACTAATGGAGAATACGACCCATCTGATGGTAAACAGTTACCGAGTCACGGTAGCCTATAAACGTCTACAATACCAGGGCATTACGCGTGTATTGCCGACTCTGAAGTAACCTCTTTACCCTTTCTTTGAAGAATTCCGTGCTGTAGTTTCTTGGGGGAACATCGACAGGAAGCTCATTTCATAACCAATGACTATTTCAGTGTCCACAAATTTGATAGTTTCAGAATGCGCTAAGTTCAAATTTAGAGATTTGCATACTAAATACACAATGCGCATGAGTATTAATAGCTCAGATGATGGGGATTCCAAGAATGGATTCCAGTTTATATTTCTGAACAATTATGTTTGGATCGTTTAAAAATTAATATTAGGTAGAAATTAGGTGTTATGTCGTATAGGGAGGTCAAAGATATGACCTGAGACAGAGCTGGCTGGAAAAATGCATTTATTAGTTGCACCAAAGAGAAAACTTTTAAATAATAAGAGAGAGAGAAACTATTGCCACCAGAGAGCGATATTCTAACAGGAGGACAAGAGGATTTTTTAAAAGAAACAATAAAAAATATATGTGTCTATCTATATCTCATTATTTTGTTTGTGAGTGTATTTATGTCACGGAACCAAATCGATCTAGACGATTTACGCTTGACTATTAATTTTAATTAAAGCTCGTTTCGTCAGACAAGTGCATATGTCTGGTTCAAACTTGGGGTCAGGTGAATCTGTACTGTTTAGTTATATTATATTTATATATTTAATTTTATAATTGGAGTAATTATTTTATAGAATTAATTATATTTAATTACATTGTTAGTTAGCGTTTAAAAAAAAACGTTGTCATTTCTTGACATTGCATATTTATAAGGATCCTACTTATTTTTCTGCTACTAAGAGGCCAATATAGCTCTTAGGTTATTATTAGTATTATTTTTTTTTACAAAAATTCACATCACCCCTCTTAAGGACAGGAGATGGCAAACTAACCCCCGGCAGAAGCACAGTCGGCCGGGGCTCAGGGCTCCAGGGAGAGACACCGGCGTACAATGCGGGCAGTATCTAAGAGCACGACTTTTTTATTTTTACCGGGAGTGAGCCGCCTCAGAATCCCAACCGTCTGAGATGTTGTTCCAAGATGGTTGGGATAAGACCGTTCACCGACAAAACGATTGGAATGATTTCGGTTGACGTCACCCCCCCACATTTCGGTCACCTCGTGAGCCAGGTCGAGATATTTTTGTTAATATATATTAGTATTTTGTTTTAAAAAAGTCAAATCTATCGATTTTGAAATTGGGTCCCAAATGGCAAAGATATTGCATCGACTTTGACTTTTAAGTCCCCTTAATCGTCTCTGATGACACCCACGGGAAGGGGGAAAGGGATTGTTAGTAATGGAGTTTGATAGCCCCATTACTAGCAATATTAGCCCTACTAGGTCAATATCCAAGTGGTTCCCCTGGAAATCATCGTGAACAATTCTTGTTGAATTCGTCACCTGCTTCATCCTCACCTATCATCCTTCACTGGTGCCCCGCCGGTGTATACCGATAGCGCGAGTGGGGTTACCATTCCATTATCACCCATTAAAAAAAAGATACCCACGGGAAAGAAAGAGGCGGCCTGTTCTAAGCCAGGACTACACGGCAAATTAATAAGTTAATAGTATATTAATACACCATGTGAGTCCCATAATGTCCCACTCATTGTTTAAAGTTTCACACCGTGCCATGTGAAACTAGATTTTGTCACGCGATTTTATGTTAATTGATGTTTTAAAGATATAATCCGTATGTTGTAATGTCGCACAATAGTGTAGTTAAGTTGTATACTTAAATGTTTTAAGTTATTTTCTTGTAATTGTTACATGAAATTGTTTTGTTGACCTCCGTGATCTGGTGGTGGGTACGTTGGTTTGCGTAAGGTTGAACCGATTTTGATAATTCCTTTTGTAATTGATAGTATTTACGCCATAATTTGTTCGCGACTAAAAAGAGTCGTCTTTGTTT